ATCTTCCTCCTCCTCCTCCTCCTCCTCCTCCCCCTTCTCCTCTCCTTGATCCTGCCCCTCTCCTCCCGTTCATGCCCCTCGTTACCTTGATCCCGTTGGCCTGCTGTCACCCCGGAGCTGACGCGTCACCTCAGACTCCTACGGATCGCCGCTGCAGTCTCGGGCTGGCTCGCCCATCACGATGCGAGGAGAGATGCAGTAGGAGGATGGGAGGCCTTTGGCCCTCTGAGTGACGCCTGGAGGAAGGAAGGAACCGGCTGTGGTCGAGGAGGAGGAAGTCGTCGACCACGAGCTGCTGCACTGGCGTCAAGTGGCCAACGACGAGCGGAGCGACCGGCTGGTAAGGGAGCTGAGGGGGAGGAGGAGGGCTGAGATGGTACGCGTGTGGCAGGAGTTGGAGGAGAGGAAGCGACGGCTGGTGGAGAGAATCAGAGACTTGAAGTTAGAGATGCACGCGGCGAACATGGAGGACGAGCGGCAAGAGCGAGAGGTGAAGGGAGGGGAGACAGGAGGGAGGAAGGGAGAAGGAGCAGTATGGAGATGGGAAGGATAGAGGTGGGAGGGGGGGGAGGAGAGGGCAGGGAGGATTGAGGAGGAGGGAGGTGGGAGGAAGTGACGGAGGCTGTTGAAGATCGAGGAGATGAGCAGGAGGGTGAAGGAGACAGAGCAGAGGTGATCATGATTGTATTTCGATCTCCTTGACCTCGAGAAGTCGGAAGGACGTTGAGGAGAATCTGAGAATTCGGAACGTGGCAAAGATCATCGCAGAGGCGAACGATCATGAAGGTGCAGGACCATCTGCTCTTGTTTGTGGTAGCTGGGGCAATAGCTGCTCTTGTTGTTGATGTCCTCTTCCCGCTCCTCCTCCTCTTGCTCCCCCTCTCTCAGCTCCCCCTTGACCTTTGCTTGCTCCTGCTGCTCCTGCTTCCTTTCTTGTCCCTCCGATCCTCCTTCCCTTCTTCCGCCTCTTGTGCTGATTTTTCAGGGATCTCACACGTCAGCAGATACTTATCTGGCAGGTTTGGCGAGAGAGAATGCAATCTTGTTCGAAGAAAATGAGAGAAGACAAAACCGACTCCATCACGAGCATCAGGCAGCTGAAAGGTAGATGCATCTGAATCATGACATGTCATCATCAAACACATCAACTTTCACTATCACCATCAGTGACAATAACAATAACAACTACAAACGACATCATCATCATCATCATCATCATCATCATCATCATCATCATCATCATCATCATCATCATCATCATCATCATCATCATGATACAATTCGGCTTCACT